AAAATCTCAATCTTAGAAAATATGTGTTGAACAAAAATACACGAATCTCAATGGTTGGTCCGATAAGACTAGTCGATTATTTCTTTACAGCGCCGGGAAGTTTGAGACCTCGAGCTTTTACACGTTTTGTGACGAGTATAATAATAGAAATAATAATAATAATCAATAAGAATAATAATCAGTGATCGTACTATATAGATGATTACTGAGTGCGAACGCAGCGATAAACAGTTTTCGTTGTTATAAACCTATCCGAATAAGATCGCTACAACAACGTCGTTATCCCTCGTCGTCTTCCCTCGCGTTGAATATAATGTTTATCTCTCTTTAATCACTAACTCTATTTTTAACTAATTGAGGTACGGCCAATCGAGCCCCGATGCCATTCGTTTTGATGAACCATGTTGAGAAAGAAAAAAATTTGAAAACGAAATGTGAGAGAGAGAGAGAGAGAGAGAGAGAGAGAGAGAGAGAGAAAGATAGAGAAATAGGTTTCTTGCACGCGGACGGGCAGAAACGAACGGCGTCGGCCGCTGAATTCGCCTAACAATTGATACCTCCGCGAGATCATATGAAAGATTTATTAAGATACATCTTATAACGGTACTTTTACAAACTAACGCGCGCGCGAACGCGTATATAAAAATTAAGAAAAAGAAGAAAAATAAAAAAACAGAACAAGGTGGGACGAAGAAATGCAATGAGAGGTGCAACTAAGGTTATAGTTGCGAAAATACGTTAGATCGTGTCTCTAGGATTTTTCTCTTGTTCACGGAAAGGGAGGAAGGATATATCATAGTATGATTATTTTTTATAATAATCGGATATTTTATTAATTACGAGATCACAGTGACGCTTTGACGCGCGGGGATCTCGGATGGGCGGGCTGCATCTACTGCTGGTCTTTTTTTTTTTTTAATCAGACTTTATGTTTGAGCGTATTGCGAATTGCGAATGTATATTATGGACTTGTCCCTTTAAACGCAAGAAGATCCTCGAGAAGACCGCTTTTCTCGTGTTTTCCTACGTTGTTCAAAAGTATGCCTAAATTAATCCCCGGTTAAGCTCTCGAGTAAGCGTATCAACAGCCTGCCCCCCACGATCCGCATAGTCACAGTTACAGCTTATTTCCCACCATCAACCTATATCCATCAACACCTTC